AGTGGGCAGATGTCTGTTGACTAGAAAATAATGACGGAGAGCAGCTGACGGAGGACACACACACACAGTGGACGTTTCATATTACCCCCTCTAATGTGTTCTACATTTAGAGCAGTGGACAAAATGGCAAATTTTTGCAGGCTTAGTAATTATTAGCACAAAGGAATAACTCTATTCTTAGAAAAATTAAAGTAGAAAATTACTTAAATGTTGCAAAAATAAGGGCAAATAACAATCTGGACACAGGAAGACTGGAAACACTGTATTTGAACATATGGGAACACACTGTTGCACATTTTATTGTGTAGTCAGGTTGTACTACACAATATGGGGCGACTGTGGCTCAGGGGGTTGGGAAGCGCATCTGTAACCGGAAGGTCGCCGGTTCGATCCCTGGTCTCTGTCCTGGTCGTTGTGTCCTTGGGCAAGACACTTTACCCTACTGCCTACTGGTGTTGCCCAGAGGGGCCGATGGTGCGATATGGCAGTCTGCCCCAGGGCAGCTGTGGCTACAACCGTAGTTTGCCTCCACCAGTGTGTGAATGAATAGTGTAAAGCGCTTTGGGTGCCTTGAAAAGCGCTGTATAAATCCAGCCCATTATTACTTCACATGAATAAAATTCTTCCTAGTTTACAAATCCCACAAATATCTACATAGAAATTGTGGTTAGATCTGCTGCCTCACAGCAGGACAGTTCAAAGGCAGGTGGGGTTTGCATGTTTCTCCATATGCTTGCATAGAGTTCTGGTGGATTCACTTAGTACTCAAACACCTCACCCCATAACGCAGGACTAAAAAAACCAAACAGATTAAGATGTGCAAATAATGAACAGAGCAAAACTGGAAAATAAACAGAGATATTACAGGAGTGCTCTATAACACCTCTGGTGAGGGTAATGAACAGGGTCAATGGTGGTCACCCACTGTCTTCCTAACAGTGAAGATATTGGCTACCTACACCCAAAGCACCCAGACAGCTATATCAAATCCTGATCTTAGAGCTGTTCAGACATATGGTAGTGATGTATTCTGATTTCTGACTAATTCATGCACACTTTATTGTGTGCATGAATTAAATGGAAAAAGCTAAATCTGACACTCAAACACACAATAACAATGACATCTTCCTACACCAATCAGAACATTCTCTGTGGCTCCAGATTGTGGTCAGGTAAACCATCTTTCTTCATGATTGGTTGCACTTTGATTAGCAGGTGGGTGAAGTCAAAGCCACCATTGCTATAGCTCACCAGGATGAGCTGGCATCCCATATCCTGAAAGCTATTGCAGTGTCCTGAGTCTGCCTCAGACCATCTCCTGCATGTCATTTCCCTGCTTCCCTGTCCTCTGCGCTGTACTATCAGTAAGTATTAAACAGAGAGCAAGGTTTTAAAAGGATGTAAACTTATTGCGGCTGAGTTTTTAATTTGTAACTTTTTATTTATTTATTTTGGTGGTTTGAACATCAGAAGGCGAGCACCATCTGGTTCCATAATATTGAAGCAAAGGCAGGCATCTCTGGAGCTGATATCTGTAAAAATGGAGCACCACTTATACCAAAACAATTTAGATGAATAAAAAGCACTAGGGGACAGGGGGGAAATATGTAAATTTGGCAAACTTTGCCTTTAAGTAAAACGCAAACACATCAATACTTCACTTGAAAAGCTTATGCAAGTAAATACTTCTACACAGAGAGCACTTTCAGCACTTTCTTAGCCACATACTAAACAGGCAAATAGAGGTTAGAGGATATTACATTTCAAGTGAAGTCTTATTCATTTGACCTTGCAGTTTTTCCCCATTTGGGCCATGCGGACAGGTGAAAATCATTTAAAACCTGAAAAGACATGAACCTAACCTGAACCCTAAAACCTTGCTGGATGCAAGGAGGATTTAAAAAAGGAACAAATGGGAATCGATCAGCTTTACCTGCATATAAACTAATGTGTTTAATATGCGTTATCTTTATTTGCTTTACATGCACACGCGTCCACTTTTCTTCTGTCTACAGTCTTGTGCAGACCTTCACCAGTCTGCTCTCAAAATAACTGCTGATGTTTAGTTCTCTGTGTGCCCAAAGGATGGCAGTGCAACACAAAGCAGTGGAGCTGCACCTTTAATAGTCTTCTCTCTCCTGTTTTGGGGCCCCGAGCTTTCATCTGTTGGCTTCAATTTATTTCATCACAGTATACTGCAGCTGATCTAATAGCATGTACGTTTTGTTGTCACCTAAAGGGAATTTCTTGTCATGCTCCAAATTGATGTACCTGTTTGTCGCCTTGGACAGTATTTGTGCTGCACAGTCACAAGCAGTGTGTGAGCAGCATACGGCTCAGTCGATTTCACCGATCAGGCACCGTGAGGTACATTTAAACAGTACGTTATGGATCTATATTTGGAAGGTGTGCTTTATGTACAGCTTAATTTGATTATCACCCAGGGAATATTGAGCCCTTTGATCCTTCGACGCCCCGAGGTCACTTTGTGCACAATGGAGCCTGATTTCATCCTGGATACATCCATGTTGTGTTTGTTGGGCTATTCAGCTCCTTTCGTTAATGTTAGAATACCATCTGATTTTGTAAAGGAATTTCATTACTGTGCCTTGGCATCCTTCCCAAACCATACCTGAGACATCATCCCAAAGTCTTTTGATATGAGCAGATGGATAGGGGGTCTCTTAAGGGGAGGATGTAATCTCCATAAAGCCCCATGTCCTTCAACCCATCTGATTGTCTTCCTGCGCTCACAATCTTATCTTCAGGTCCAAGATGGTTTTAAAGCAATTTGACTTCACTTAAATAAGACAGGAAAACAATTAAGTGATGCTGTTGGGGGTCTAATTCAATCAGAGGAATTCCTCTCCGATATTGATCAGAGACTATTGATTTTCTCTGACATTTCCTTACTCTTAACTCTGCACTGTGCTTCATTTGAGAGATTTTCCTTTGTATTAACAAGCAGTGTCTTTCATACTCCGCTATCATCAGCTCTGCATCAACTAACGCCAGAATAGCCAACATACTGATCCCCTTATTTTTTTCTGGGACACAGACTAAACCAGACTTGTGACTGGCCTCATTATGAAGGTTTGCCACCCCCTGAGAGTGCCCGACCTGACCCCAAAAATTGCCCAATTGGCTTTTTCCATCTGCGCTTATGTGTGGTGATGGGGAACCATGACATTTACATTTGCACCACTCCAATATGATCCCTTGCTCTGCACGAGTTTTCGACACAGACTATAGCTCAAAACCGGTCACAGGATCAAAAGTGTCTCTTGCCTGAAGGAGCCACTGAGTCGATCCTTTCCATTTCTGCACCAAATGGTGTTTTCTCTCTCCTCCTCTCTCTCTCTCTTTCTTCTATCTCTCTCTCTCTCTCACCAGTAACTTGCTGGAACACATTTAGATCCTGAGTAGAACTCCTCAGTGCCCACTCATCACTCTGCGTGGTGTTTGAAGATTACTACGCTCAGAGACATCCTCACTGGGCATCCAGGCAGCTTAGAGGCCAAAATCCATAATCCCTTACCCTTCATGGGAATTCTCCATGCACTTCAACATGCTGAAATACAGCCCCGCTGCAGCAGCCACTCATGGCCGAGGAACTACTGCAGCCGGAGGCCCAGATAGATGGATGACATGTCTCAATGAATGTGGGAGAAGTGGAGGAAGTTAGATTTAAAAATAAGTTATATACCACAGATAGTTCCTTCTCTGAAACACGCCGAGTAAAGGGATCTTTTTTGCAAGGTGTTTTATTTCCAAGATATGCTTGCACACAACTTAAGTTGGTCCACATGCGCCGCTAACTGTTTTATGCATACCATACCAGCCCAGAAGACATTATTTACTGAAAATATAGGTGCCGTTCTGGGACTCAGCAGCTCCACGGCTTTTCTAGCAGTCGTCTCAATAAAGAATTTCCTCTGAGGCTTTGGTGCCTTATTAAAAAGCGTAAATAAGTGTAGTTCCTTGATTCGGTAATCTGCATGAGCGAGTAATATGTAAAGTTCAGCTGTTGTAGCTGAAGGACCAGTGGGGTTTTCCTCCTCTAGGCTACACTCTAATGCTTTGTTAGTCTGCTGTGCTTAAACCTGTTTATTAGCTTGGGGACTTTGTCTTGCAGCAAACGAGAACAATAAAAGTAATCTCACATTCACATTTGGTATTTTCTCTTTATGAAAGTGTTTCTTTGCTCTGAACCTTTTTCCATTTTCTTTTCTCACCACATAGGTAAAAATATGAGGGAGACAAACAGAGCTGTTCCAGCGTTTTTAAAAAAAAAATTATTTAACAAGGCAGGACCAAACCACCAGAAAATTGGTTGAACTCAGTTTAATGAGTTTAATTGCGGACAGAGCTTGTGCTTCCATGAAAATCAATGACCAACATAATGGTGGCTGCGTTGGAGGAAACGATTCAACTACGAGGTCAAGAAGTTAACAAAATGCAGTCTGATTATATCTGTAAATACATTTTTGATATGTTTTCATACTCTACTGAAAGTATTATTGTTGGTAATATCTTTTGGTTTTGAATCCTAATGGATAAACTAAGCATAATGAGATGTTTAATTTTAGTTTAATATTTTATGGTTAAATTAGTATTTTTCTATTTGTTTCTTTGTACCCTTACTTTAATACAGGCTCCACAGCTCTAACTAGCTGTGGAGTCGTACTGTGTACGGTGGCAACGAGCCAGAGAGTCCTGTGAGTTAAACCTGTGACCTGCAAAGTGGTCTCTTGTGGATTATTTTAACTGCACGAGGGACGCATGCAAGTGCAAGCTAGTGCTTTCTGCTGTAACATCATATATATATATATTGTTTTGTGCTTTTAAATGAGCTCTTAGTGCATATTACTTGATACACTGAGGTGGACAACACTGTTTTCCCAGACAACAGGGATCTGAACACCACCTTCTATACCCTTCATTTTGTTAAGGTTTAAAGTTAGAGGCGTGGCTGTGTTGAGTGACAGGTGCGCCAAGAGCAAACCCCATAGGTGTTAGGTCTTACCTCCATTAATTACACTTGTGGAATTAAACCTGTGCGCTGCCTTTGGAGCATTCTTCGTTGAGTTACCTGACAAATAATACGGCCTGCAGCACTCATGGTTCAAGAGGTCTTTGCTTTAGTTTTGGTGAGTAAAACGTTACTGTTTTTTAGTGTGTTAGCTTTAATTAGCTAATATGTGTGCTTTGCTCCTATACAGTCTATGGATGGAGCTGTTAATCACCTGATAACTCAGCACTAAACCCATTTACACATGGTAGTCTTAAGTCTGGCTCCGGAAAACCAATGTTAGATGAAATGCTAACACAGAGGCTTCCAAATTCAGAATCCAAAACCAGGGTGTGACGTCAGTGTGCCCGTGCAGTCTTTTGTCAACAGCAGGCGTGTGAAACATAATGCCCGGGGGCCACAATCAGCTGGCAAAGAAGCCAATTTGTCCCCAACAGATGTGAAGGAAGGCGTAATTTTGGACCTTTTTCTGTATTTTCATAAGTTTTACCGCTTTATCTTTAATGATAAATATCTCCCATGTGGCCATTCATGCAACACTACAGTAATTAGGTAATAGATAAAAAAAAAAAAGAAAGTGAAATGACAGGAAAGTTCCTGTTTTGTTTTGAGGTTTTTCTCTTTTGGTTCTGCTATAGAAAATTCTGTGAATTAACTTTGTGTTTTATAATTACAGGACAGTCAATGAGCTGCAGCTAACAGATCTTTCTTTCATTTATTACAGCAGCATTTCTTTATCATGTATAGATGTCCTGTTGAAGTTGAACTTCTTATATTAAGATATCTCTTCGATTAAAGGTGCAAACATCTTTAGCCTGGGTTTCACTAATCCAGCCCACAGCACGTGGTGATGATAGTTAGTTGAACATCATGTAGCAAGCTGGTTTCTAAGTCTGCACTGCAGGTGTAGTTTTTGTTTAAGGATTAGAGGAAAGCAAAAAAAACCCAAAAGACAAATCCTCACCCAGGAAACTTTGAGCATCATTTATTTCATTACTGGAATCTGTTAAATCTTTCTGCACCAGTTTTATTATTTATGTAGAAGAAAATGCATCACATAACAGTTCAAAGCATGCTGGAGTACAATGCAGCGAGGCTCTCGAACATTCTGTGCCACTTTCAAATAATTAATCTCAGCTTTTCTCATTAGCATTATCACTGCTAAGTCAACACACATATAGACATAGTTTACTGTTCTGTTCTCTCCTGTGTTTGCCTGGTTTCAGAGGTGAGAATCAGACTATAACAAGCTGACAGGTTTGTCTGATATCATCCTGCTTTTGTGGGTTTTCTTTTGAGAAGTAACCTGCACAAATGTGCATGAAACATCTTTTCATCTCGCTGAAAATGACACTGATATGCTTTAATTTATCAGCTCCTGCACTTTAATAGCTCAGGCGTGTTTCAGCAAGATTTCAGTCTATGTATGAATATAAAATCTATCACACGTCCTTTTTTTGGGGAAGGATTTTAAAAGTCTCGCCCATCTTTACTGTGTTTTTGATATTTTTTAGAAAACCAAAGGCAACATAATAATTAATATCTAGTGTAATCTCACATCACAACTTGAAATAGTGGAAAGAAATCTCTGTTTACATTCATGGACAGGAATTGTCTTGTTGTTTCGTGTCAGTCAGCTGTATGTTATCAACAGTCTTCAGCAGAGACTTGCCACCCTGGCAACCGAGAAAATAAGCCTTGAAAAAAGTGGCCACTGTTTTATTTTAACCATAGACAATGGAAAATATGGACAAAGTCACTGAGACAGCGGCGACTGGTTTGTGAAGTACAGTTAAGTGGTGTTACCACAAGCCACTGACTGTAAACGCTCATTGGCTAAAAGCTTGTCAATTTCAAGTGCTGGAAAATTCCAGATAATCCTCCTTTTTGATGCTTAGAATGACCATAATTTACAGAATGAACTTCATATTTTATTCAGTGTGATTCGAAATTAGCGACTGAGTTCAGAAACTTATCAGAAAAGTGTTTAGTGAGGTTCGAGATCAGGGGAATGAGGGGCTGCTTTCTCACAAATATCTAGATAATCAAAATCACAAGGGTCTGTGTAATGGCCCTCTGCTGGCCATTACACAGAATGTATATTTATGGCACTATAGTGTTGGCTTTACTTTTAAAGATGAGATACTTCATCAGTCTTATACAGGCTATGATTTTAACCCTAACTAAGATCATTATCTAAACCTAACTAAGTTGGTTTTAGTCCCTAAACCTTTTTTTTTAAAAGTGTTTTTAAATGCTTAAACCACATTGAGTAGTTTCTAATAAAACACAGTTGAAGTGTAAAAACCTTCCATTTGTTGGATTCAAACCATGCTAAATATGTTCTTCCATTGCTAACCCACCCAGGACTTTTTTTCTTGCTTTTAAAAAAATATTCGGTTTCTGTTCGTGGACACAAATCAGCACGTGAAACCAGTTAGATGAAAATTTGTGTCCGGGAACACAAATTGATGGATTAAAAGGTGCAAGTGTTTCATGAAGTGGCATAAGACAGCGAAGCAATTTTGGACCTCATCTTCTTTCTTCCTTCCGGCTCCTCCATGCATCATAACCTGCCTGTGTGCTAGAGGAGAGGAGGAGATGCTGTGCAGCTGCTGAGTGAGATGCGTGTGTGTTTGACTGTGTTGGGGATTATTAAATTTAGCAGAAAAGATTCAGTGGCTGTAAGAAGCCTAAGGAATAATTCATATTTCGAGAGTGAAAAGGTCAATTTTTGGACATCGGCTGCTGAGGAATGTGGGCGTTCTTACTTCATATAGCGGCGTGGGCGTTTAATCGATTAATTGATGTTATTTATTTTCAGTCAACCTTTTGAAGGCAGTTTGCAAGGACATGCTTCAGACTCATTCGTTTTCCCATAACAGGTTGCTCCAACTTGGACAAAATGCCTGTGTAAATGCCCTTGGTCAGCAACCAGCCGGACTGCTACCCAGCACTACAGGCCTAACCTGTATCAGAGCGCTGCAGCCCTCTCTCTCTCTCTCTCTCTCCTCTCCCCGCTGTTTGGCATGCTCCGTGGCACGGCGTGCTGAGGGCAGATCGTGTCACCGAGCTGGCACCGGCCTGAACTCATTCAAGGTTACTCTTTGATTTAATGGTGATGCATTTTTTAAAACAGCATCATCCCTCTCTCTCTTGCCACAGCTCCTAGTCCATCTCTGTCACAAACACTGGCTGTGCATCTCACCTTTAGCAGTGGAAGCACCGGGAGAGGTTGTTTAAGATATAAATCAATGGCAAACGAAGCCCGAGCTCCAGAGCAAGCTGGCCCCGGTTGTTGTACCTGCCAGCCTGTTTTAAAGGCAGGACGGTGAAGGAAAATTCTTCTATATATTTAGTCTATGACATGGGAAAATGGTCACTCATCATGCAGACAGCTTTCTGTATGAGAACTTAAAATTAATGCTGTCTGCAAAGCCTTGAAGGTTTGATACATAACCAGATGCTGTGTAATACCTTTATGGTTTTCTCTTCCCTTCTGGAGATGTAAATGATGGAGAAAATGATCGGTTTGTTCTTTTCATTGTGTCTTGCCTATTATAAATAGCGTTACCTATCTCTGTTCTTCAGTGATGTTTTTGAAAGGGTGATATTCACCAATCATCACGTCTTCTTGCTGTTGTTTCAGTAAACGTTGTGTATCATAAAAATAGATTTTCAACCAGTTGCTCGTTTCCTCTGAGGGGTAGCTGTTTGTGAATTGTTGGGGGTACAGTCGTCACACAGACACACGCGAAAACGTTGACAAGATCAAATACACTTTTAACTTTTCTTCTCTTCTTAACTGAAATTGAATCTAAACTATTCAGGCACGAGAGCATCGGCCTTTGTGTGGTGTGGCAGGCTGTTATGGATGGAGATGAGCATTTCTGATAAAGAGAAAAAAGTGATAAATCAGAGGATAGAAACGGGGCATATTCATGAGCTCTGTAATCCTCTTATATCTTGTGTCATTTTGAAAAGCAAACACATCTTTGAGATCAGTACTTGACTGTGTCAGGTTCGATAAACCTCACCTCCACCATCTGAAAAATGTTAACATGATAAGAAACCTGATGAGCAGAAATGTCTGGAGCTCTAATAACTTCACTATAAGACTCTGTAGTCAGAGGAGCATTAATGCAATGCTTTTTAAAAATTTTGTAAATCAGTTTTTGATGTATTCCTACAAAGTTTTGCCCCATCAGTCACACTTGCCTACAGACTAGTTGGTGACCCCCTGTCAACCACTGGAGAAAATATTTTTTCCCTGAGTGGTTGCTGCCAAAGATGGCTACTGCACCATCCTTGCGGAGGTAATCTGCTACTGGCTCGTTCCCTGTAGCTTCCACAAAAGATGTGAAGTTGCCTGCCAACTTGAGCAGCAGTAAAACTGTGAAAAATGCGAGCGAAATCAGAAAGAGGAGACCATTCCCTTCAGGAAGACTTAACAGTGGTTGGTTGATAACTCTTAACACTGCAACCAGAACATTTCAAAAGAAGCAACTTTTATTATTAAGGTGATGGTTTTTCCATTCCCAGTTTGCGTCACGCTTGCACATAATCACTACTGCTCGAGAAGCTGGCGAATGTCTGCAGACAAGTCAGTCTTTCATAAAAAATACGAGTAACCATCCCGATCTGCTGGTGAACAAAGTAATTGGTTTTCAGTTCTGTATATACCTTTGTGACCTTTTTCAGCTGTCAGCAATATTCAGCATTTACTCGCCAAACAGTTTTCGCATACACATTTTTCCTTAGTGGTCTATGTGTTACCAGGAGGTGCCAGCTGGTCTCCAGACCTGTGTGACTGGGCCCTAATAAAATAAATGGAGAAAGGGGGGAAAAAAATGAAACGCGTAAAATTTAGGTAAACTTATTAATTCATGCTAGTTTTACCTATTTATACTGAGTTATCTCTAAATTTGGGTGTTAGCCATAGACTGTATATAAAAGATAGACTTAGCTTTTGGCTCTGAAAATTGAAGCCAACACAGAAAAGCTTTGAACCTGCATTTCTTTTTTTCTAATGGCCAGCAGAGGGCATCTTCTCTGGTTGCAAAAAAGAATTTAGATTGTGCAGAGGTCATTAGAAAAATGACATCTGGTGAGTTAAAATAACTTGGGAGTCTTATTTGAACACAAAATGAAACTCACTTTGTGAGGCCTAATTGACAGACAGACGAGAGAAGAGGGCAAGATTTAGGATTGACAAGTTACAAGTTTTAAAAATAATGCTAATTAAATTATTAATTTTGAACACAAAGCTCAATTTTACCTTGAAAGTGTCACAAAATTATTGTAATTTGAAAAGTGTTTAGAGTCTGACAGATCAAATCCTACTAACCTACTGTATGTTTTTTTTTTTTTTTTTTTTTTTTTTAAATGACAGTAAAATAATGAAATGGCAAAACCAACACTGTTGCCTTTGTTGGTAATCTGAGAAGTATAGTTGTGTGTACTTGTTTCATTTAATAAGCTATTGTTGACAAGCTGAAATGGGAAGTGTAAATATTCATGGGACTTTTAATATTTAACCTCAGAGCCTTCAGACAGTGTTGTGATAATTATTTCACTTATTTTGTGCTTAGACTTGGATTAGACTTTGATTATCGTGTCTGTAGTTTGTGATGTAAAGGTTTAGCTAGGTCAAAAAATGAACAATCACCGGGTTTGTGTTAATGTTAACATATTAATAAAATGAGCGTTTCTGTTATTGGAAGGTGCACAAGTAACAGGAAGGAGACTCGAACTGAGAGCTCTGTTTCTAAAGTACATAGATCATAAAATTGCATGAAATATATGGGCATAAAGTGCATGCCTTCGGCTGTGTTAATTACATTTTATCCTTTGCGTTGTTATACAATACTGAGTTCATGTAACTTATTCTCCTTACAGCATGCTTAAGATAAAAAAAGTCCAACTTGTCACTCTTAATTAGACATTTTAAGTAAAACCAGCTAATCAAATTTCAGTCACCTTTAAAGGTTAAATGGGGAGAATAAGTCTTTTTTTTTTTGTTTTTTTTTGTTTAATTAATCTACGTTTAAATAATTATTTTATGAATTGTGGATCTGTTTATAAAGCACGAAGCCCTTTTCTGCATATTTGATTGCACATATTTAAATAAATAAAATCTTGATTTTAGTCGCATCTGAACACTTACAGAAAGAGAATCAAGATTTCTGATTACCAAATCTTTTCTTCAGTGTTATAAATGTGTCAAAACGAGCACCTTGTAGACGCTGTTATCAGCTACAACATGGTATTTTATGCCCTGAATTTTCAGCTGAAACTAAATGAATATTTGGTTAATTAAATGTAACCCCCAAAATAATTGCTACTTTCTGTCCTGCGCGCAGATGAAATGATTAATTGATCCGATTCCTGCTCTCTCAGTTCAGAGGGTCGCTTGACTTGGTGTTGAAGTCAATAAGCACTAAAGGAAAACTGCTGCTCAGTTGATCTCAATAAACACTTTCTTAATGAGTCAACTTACTCGAAAGCTATTTTGAAGTCTTTTTAGTGCAGTATGATGTTCATTTTGTAAATTATGGCCTCGTTTAGACTCAAACGGACAATAAAACGATATTCTTTGTGACAAGCTCGTGCTTGAGTCACTTTCATATGAGTATGCAGCGCGCTTCTCAGTCTAATCCATCCCCTCTCTGTGATTTTCACTTTAAAAGGGGAAAAAATTACTAACAGAAGAAATGTTATATATGGTTTCTGGCACACGTATAGAAATCTTTGGGACCCCAGTGGAGTGTTTTGATCCAGCTTTTTAATGTTACCATTCAAGCTGGTTATTTTCAATATATTTCATATGCATTAAACTCATACCGGCACTCACCGTCCTATAATTTTAATATTAATAATAAAAAAAAAAAACCCTAATACTGGGCAAAACAGCTAGTTGTCTTTGATGCTAGTTGATTTTCAAACACAGGTAAACTAAACCCCACAGTGACTGAATCCAATATAAAGATTCATCAGGTGTTGTAATTCTGTAACTGATTTTATGTATCTTTTTGCATCCACTGTAACATAATGAGAACTTTCCCATCACTCTTTGTGCATGCGAGTGTGAAAATCATGACAATACATGAAAGGAGGGCTTAGCGTTCTGGTTAAGTGTGAAAATGACTCTTGTCTTATCTAATGGGATAAAAGGTTGGAGACTTGGGAGACATTTGGTGTTGAAAGCAGACACCCAGCAGACAGACATTTGAAAGCAGCCTAATTTCTTTCAGATTCATGATGAGCTCAGCGGCATTAGATCATAGATGCGCAAAGAGCAAAATGGGAGAATTAGACAGTCGCGGCTGCTGCTGCTGCTGTCAGCCATTATCCACTGAGGTAAGAACTGACAGGGCTATGATGCTAACATCCATTAGAGCAATTAACTGCGGCACATAGGTGTCCTACATTTTAGGTGTGTGAGGTGGTCTATTAAAAGTATTCTAAATTTTTATTCCTTTTCAAAGGGAAAAAAAAAGAAAACAGTACGGCAAATGTATTATAAGCAGTGGGACAGAATTAAATAGAGCGTAAACTTAATTTCATGTTGCCACAATTCATTCGATTCATATGGGCTTAATAGTATTGTTCATTTTCCTGCATATTTAGGGGTGAAGTGTTCGTACCTGGTTATGTCTGGGGGGCATTAATTCTGACTAATGAAATGACTCTATCCTCTGTGGCGTTTTAATCTATTCACTGTGAAAGTAATTGACAAGCCCACAGTATGTGCATTAGGATAGCTCCGGCACCAAAGGACAGCTGTCACTAAAGCAATTAAAATGACAAAGGTTAATTAATTCTCTGCAGTTTTTTACCTGATATGAGACATTCACAATGAGTGAGTTTTCATTTTCAGAGGAGTAATAGTGTTTTGAGGAGGGTAATTTATTTGTGGTTTAAAAAAGAAAAACACCAGTCATTGTCTGATGGAGCCTTTAATATGTCAATACCTCACACAAAACTGTGCCCCCAGGACAGCTTCAGCCCCAGATTTGAAATGCATTCTGCAGAAGGACATGATCTGAAATGACAATTGCTTGTTTTTGCCTCTTTTTTTTTTTTTTTCAAAGCAAGCTCCTTATTCTTTGTCCTGTAGCAACGCAAACAGAATGTGATTTGTTTTTAAATGAGGCGCATGAGGATGTTTTACGCTTTAATTTGAGCAAACGTCTGTAAGTAAGTGGAAGCTCTACATTTTCGCTGCGGTTGGGGGTCAAGCGGAAGAAAAACCGAGACGCAAATAATTACTATGCCAACCACCTCTGACACCACGAGAGCAGAACCCAAGAACTTTCTAATCCACCTAAATGTCAAAGCAACGTTCACAGCCCTCCCTCCATGTGAATCTCCACAGGCTGCCAAAAGGCCAGTGGTTAGTCATCTGTTTACTCCTGCAGCTGCTGGGTGTCATTGGGACTCTGAAGGAGAAATCCCATGATTCTCTCTGCCATTTCTGACAGCTCCCGCCCAGACCACATTAATCAGGGATTGTGGGCGAGCTAGGGGATAGAAGGCAGGCATGGATGGCTCCGGCCCAGCATAGCTGAACCGAGGGAGAAGATCTGGGCCCAAAGATAACTTAGACGTCCAAACACTGCTGCTCTGCAACGCTGTCGGTTTCATTCATACGCACGGAATTCGTTAAATGGACAAAAGAAATGGCCAGATTTGCTTTTCTTATAAAACAGAGCTTGGAAAAGGACTCAAACATCTCCTAGTTGTGCATATTGGTGTCTACAAGAGATTAATTCCTGAAAAGCTGCGTCCCTTACATTTTAATTATTTAACTCCGCTTTCTCCATCTTCTCTGTTAAATTATTTTTTCACTAAGCTGTAATGAAGGTGTAATCTGTGATCTGAAAATGTTTTTTTTTAAAGCTGAAATACAAAGCAGGAAACGGCTTTCATTTCCAAAATGAGGAACATTTGTTACAAATATATATTTATTTAAATCTAAGGACCGTTTTAAATCATTAATGTTCTTATATAAATGAGTAACACAACTCCCTATTTGCAATTACAGATAAGAAATCATCGACTGGTATATAAAAGAAGAATGTAGTCACCAGTACTGTACTAACACTGTTTTTTCTGTAATGCAACACACTGCTGGATGGAATTCAGTAATCAAATTACATTTAAAACTATACCATTACTTACATTACAAAGGTTCTTCATTTACCTGCACGATGGGCACAGAAAGGAAAAAACTCAAACATGCCCTCTTTCAGTCCTGAACATTTATACCGCAATCAGCTGATTTCAGTTAGTATGCAGGGAAAACAGTGGAATGGTCTACAGCTAAAAAGTGGATACGTGGACATTACTTTTGTTTTTACTACATCCATGGACAGTAACGTGAAGGTACAGTGCAGAAAACTGAAGCTATAAAATCTGCACAGACAGCATAGTGACACAAAGGTAGTGTGGAAGAACCCAGAGTGATGTTAAAGCCGAGTCTATGCCAAACCCAGCTAAGCAGACCGCCTGATCTTCTGCTGAAGCAGTGATGAGCAGTCAGGCTCGTAGCATTTCAGCCTCCATTTCTCCAGCCTGCACCTGTTAGTAGAATTACTGTGAAATGCCTTTTGAGCTAGTTTTTAGTTCAAACATTCTTTGCTGTTGTGTTGTTCATACTTGAACACTAAAAGGAAGATCTCGCATGTGTCCTCTTCAGAGGAGGGATCTGTGTCGGTGTGCAGGATTGTAGTCTGGTAATTATGTACTTGCATTTATATAGCTCTCCATTCATCCATCCATCCATCGCCTGCAATCTCTCCAATGTGTCCTGGGTCTGCTCTGGGCCCTCCTTCAGGTAGTACATGTCTCAAATGCCTTACCCAGGAGCTGTACTCTAAACTCCACCTGAATGATTGAACTCCTCACCCTACTGCTAGGGTGATGACCTTTTGGAGGAAACTCATTTCTGCTCATTTGCTCAGCTTTCTGTCACTACCCCCAGCTTGTGGCCATAGATGAGGGTAAGAATGTAGATTAGTTGGTAAATTGACAAATTTGCGCTCATACTTAATTCTTTCTTCACCACAACAGATTTGTGAAGCATCCAAAGCCCTGAGAATGCCTCCCCCAGTTGGTCTGTGAATCTCCTGGTCCACTCTCCCCTCACTCAAGAAATGGGACACTGAGATACTCCTCCTTTGACTCCAATAGGAACCTAGTAGGAGGAACTACAAACTGAGACCAGGAATGTGTTTACTGAGTTTATAAACTGAGTGAGCAGTAAGGTAATTAGATGTGAAACCAGAGGATTTGCCCCCTGCTGGCCATGAGGAAAAAATGCAGGTTTATGCACTTTGCATTGCAGGGTTTGTTCGGTAAGAAAAATACAAAATGGAAATTTTTCATCAAACACTTGAACTTGCAATAATGAATTTGCGTTGGTAATTTTGGGGCAACAAAATAATTTGTAGGCAGAAGACTGAAAAAAATCATCTCGTTGTGTTGATCTGGACTAATTTCTAAATAGAAGAAAATTAGTTTTCATTTGAATCCATTAGGGGTTTAATGGTTCCAAAACAGAGACGGAATTTGTCTTCCTGTCCCCCCAGCTCCTCCATCCGACCCACTGCTCATTAACTTACTAATAGAGGAGTTAATAGAACATAAAGTTCCTATAAAAGTTAAGTGCAGCAACTCAGTGCTTGAATGTAATCTCAAACAAACCAGGATGATTATGTGAAAGTTGTCAGAGAAATTTAAGGATCGCTGGTTAAAGCTGCAATGTTTAAAGGTATAACACATGAGCTTCTTTAAATGAAATAAGTTTAAAATAGTCATAAGCGATGATGTTATGTCCCACACCTATTGCAAAGATATCAGCAGATGTTATGAGCTATTGCTGGCACATCCCATCATGTCATGATCACTGAGTCAATACGGCATCTAGTTTGCCCGAAAGGAAATTTGTAGATGTTTTTGCACATATCAGTGGTGAAAACGTCTTTTGGAGGAAATAGCAGAAAATGGAAAGTCTGTTTCGATTGGTTAGAACAACGAAATTCCAAAATAACCCGTTGTTAAAGGTTCTACACCTGCTTTGTTCTAGTGTTTGCTACTTTTGCTTTATTGGTATGCATTCAAACACAAATCTGTGTGCTGCAACAGCCATGTGTCGTCTTGTTCCTTACTCTAGGTCTAGTCAATAAAACCTTCCTGTGAATCTCTTTATTCAAATGGTGAGAGGCTTGGTTATTTACTAAAAAACAGGCTAGGTAACTACCAGTTAAAACTAGGGACTGCAACATTGTCTATACAAATAGCTCCTGAGACCTGAACTCTTGTTAGGGATTCATCACGTCTGTGTTGAGCAGAATGAAATGTAAGGTTGTGATGTCTGCTTATGAAGATGCAGGGTCTCTGGAGGTTAAGAACCATTTAAACACTGTTTCGATTTTGATTTCTGTGGAACTTGTACCATGACTGACTTTTTTTGCCTTCTTTCTTTGGGACCTTCATTCTGTGACGCAGCAGCACTAACCACTGCTTCACCATGCTCCCCTGGTTTGGAGAAACCAAATTAAATTTGTAATCTGTGCTCTATCAAAGCATAATTCTTTCAGACGGAAGCCCACTGTAGGATGGAAAGCTACAGGTGATTGTGTGCAACCTGGCCAATCACCTACGTTGTGTATGGTCACTCTGGTGCTTGTTGCGCTCGCCAGCTGAGAAGTCATCACAGTCTATTAATACTGGTTAAAACCATTGATCATTTATAGCAGTTTATGAATAGCACAGGAGTCACTGAAGTCTTCTTCTCAGCATGTGTTGTCTGTCTGTAGCCCTATCCAGTGGCATGTAGCATATGCACATTGCCCATAAATCATAATTTTAACCAACTAGGTTAGTTTTGCCTTCCTTTCATCTTTCCTGCTCACCCTGTAACACCTGTGTTCTTCTCCCTGTTGAGGTTCTCCTTCTAATGTTGTTGGCACTTGTAGTATAGTGTAGTATAGAGTGTCATCACTAATAAATATTTCACCTGTATGTTGATGCTCGAACCTGCTTTAAAAAAATACTTGAGCGAGCTGTGACTGTAAAGATGGGGGCAGTAAATTAAGAACAATACGATGAAAAAGCTAGAATGCTCCACGGAGCTGAACGGAAACTGTAGAGAAGAGCTGTCTCAAACACCATTTTATGGGCCATGAGCTTTGGGAGTAATCAACGGCAAATGATCACTGAAAGGAGTTTGGGAAGGAAGTTAGGCGGATAATGTGAGAAGGGGGGGGGGGAAAAAACAGCCCAACACTTCCAAAGCAGCTGAATCCTAAACCCAAAAAACCAAGTACCTACCCAGTATGTCTCCAGTAGTGTTTGACCCCTTTCACATCGGGCACTTGACCGATGTCAAGTTTAGTTACTGATAAATACTAAACGGAGGATAAATTATAATACACGTGTAACTGAGGCTGAAACGGTAATTTCTTCAAAACAGTCAGCATCACAATACGTTGCATTTAGCCTCAGATGACATTAGTCAGGGAACAGATCCATCTCTCAGCAGCTCTCACACCGAACACTTTTGTGCCAGACTGTTTACACTTGTAAGATTATATGCATAATGAGGCTGCATTGTCTCGGGAAAGTGCTGCTTTAATTCTCTGAAGCTGAACAAACTGTCCCTGGCACATTTGGGTAGGGGTGGAGAGATATCAAAGTCACTTTATTGAGATGAAAGAACTGGCCCAAACAGCAATCTGACACATTAGTCATTCCTTCTTCTTAGTGACAGAAACATGCTCTCAATTTACGAGTCAGGTGCTTCCAGTGATTTCTGCCAGCCTTGTTCCTCCGCATCATAAATTCCTCTTTATGCTCACTCATCCCACAGGCAGACCCCTATTCTTCGACCTGCCTTGTCAGAAAATTCGCCCCATGTTGGCATATTGGATGTCATCCAGGCTGCCATTAGCAGTTACTGCGTTGCGTATACCATGGCATACACTGTGAAAGAGCACTGAATTTAAATAGACAGCAGTGATTGTGCCCCTAGGTGCACATTCATACTTTTTTACAGGTTTTCTATCGGCTCTTTAATTCATTCTTTCTGTGGTGTTGACTCTGCAGAGCTCCCACTTATACTGTGTTCATTTTCTCTAAATGCTTCACGTGGAGCCACTGGCTTCCAATCTATGTAATGAAGGTTTAATAGCCAATTGGAACATCCAATATCATTAGCAGCCAGCGTTAGGCTCATCTGAAATTTTTTTCTTTTTTTTTTTTTTTGATAACCAGAAGTGCGAGCGTTTGACACGCAGGATGTGTGATTAGCACCTGCTGTTTAATGTATGTCCTACCTCTTCTGGAGCTGGAAAGCTCTTTTTACCAGTTCTCGCATTATAATAGTGTTTTTGTTCTGCTTAAGCCTCAAATGCACTTCAGGAAATCTTCCTCTCTACAATTTCCATGTTCTCTTGCATTCTTGTTCTATGATCTATTTTTAAACAAACTTTTGACCTACCTTTTTTCCGATTATCAATCACTTTTCGATACAAATGATTATTCCAGTGTTTACAAATGGTTATTTTTGGTTTCTGCAGGGGCACTATGGCTCTAATTCTGTGGCTCACTACTGGCTGCTTGTCATGTCAGTGATGCAAAGAGTCACCAGAAATAAAAGCAATGCTTAAATGTCTAAAATGGATATGCAGTTCTGAGAAAAAAAGAGAGCAGAGTAATGTTTGATTATTTTTAAAGAAAAGCACAAAAAATGATCTTCTGTTTCTCTGTCATCTTGTGCAACTTTTATTTATTCATTGTGACATTTACTTGCTTATGTTTGATCTGATGAGAGCCCTCAATTTGGTGTCATTTACCGAGCGCCGTCCATGGCCTTAAAACTGCTAAACACACAACACAGAATTAAAATAGAACATACTTTTTTTTCCCTCTTTGTGTCGTGACTTGGTGAAGATTATTTTTGACAGCTGCAATAACAGGAAAATATAGATGGACGTTATTAAGTTGTTTACCACATTCGGGTTCATGCATGGGACATGGACGAGATTCCAACAACAATATCAGAGAGGTACATTCACTCTAACAATCACACTGCAGAAAACAACACCACTCAAAATATGTTTGATTTTTCCATTATGCCCTCTAATGCATACTGACAGATTCTTCTTATTTGCATTGACATTTACGTGTTCGCAGTGATTACCAGAGACTGATTGGAGGAGACAGAAAGCATGATTGAGACGGAAATACACCATCAACATAAACAACTAAATTAGCAGGAGAAAACACTGATAAAATTGTTCTCTGGTCTTTGTGTGGAATCCACGATATTTACATAAATACAATCAGCATATTTTTATGGTTGGCTTGAGAATTTCCTTTCGATGTAAGCAGCTATGCATATAAGATGAGTATTGCAAGCCTATAAATGCTTCCCTAAATGCTCTCTTAATGACCTCAGGCTAGGCTTGTTCATTGGAGCAATATCAGTCTTGTGACAAGGATAGGTTATTTGTAATAATGCCTGTCAACATCTCAAGTTGGAAATGTCTTGACTCCATTTTCTTTCATATAATCTGACATTGCTCAGGACCCTGTAGCCTATCTTTGTCTTTTTTTTTTCTTTCCCCCCCTTCGTCTGGTCTTGTGATCAACCCGTAGGGAGGTAGGGGGTGTCACTGTGGTAGTTGTAGTCTGGGCACACCTTCTGCACCAGCTTGTAGTCAGTGCTGTAGAAGGTGATGAAGATGCAGATCACTTTGAAGGGTTTGGAGCACAGCCAGGACACGTGGCTCTGGGTCTGCTCCTGAGGGCAGCTCTGCGAGGGGTCGTGGGCACACAGTGAGTTCCTGGTGCCTTTCTCCACCTTTTCGTACTCCACCCTACAGTTGAACAGCTTGGTTTCTTTGGTCTCCAGGGCCGTCTGCTGCTGCTGCTGGTGATGGTGGTGGTACTGCTGGTGCGGCTGGTGGACCTGGAACTCCACAGCCTTGGTGGGAGGAACAAGTCCCACGGAAACGTTGCCCTGACCGGTTGAATTGTGTCGAAAGTAGACGCTGAAGGTGCCGTTACCGTGATCCACAATTTTGCCGGTGATGAGGAGGTTCAGCTTCACCGTCTTGATGTTAGAATGGAAATCACCCCAGCCGAACATCTTCTTAAACTTTCCAGTCTTGACGATGGGGCGTCTTTTCGTCCTTGATCGAGGGTCACGGGAGGCTGAGGTGTTGTAAAGCCATTTCCAATGCTCTTGCTTAGAGTAAGACTCTCCTTCGTCGTAGTTCAGATCCATAGAGGTGAAGTTCTCTTTGCCGTAGAGGCTTTGAGACAGCAGACGGCTAATGGACACGTCCTTGCTGCTTTCATCCCAGTAGGTCTTCACTTTGGATTTTGAGTTATATCTCAAGTCGGAACTTGGAGAGTCAGCACTCGCAACCTGGAAGATTAAATAAAATGAGTATTAGTTAAAATTATACACAATCTTACAAACATACTCTAAAGTATGTGAAGTTTTGCCTCATAATACTTATATGAATATTAATACAACTTATATGAATACAGCAGTTGATGTGTTTTGGGGTCACACGTATTAAATCGACATCGTCAATTGGACAATTATTTCCTTCCAAAGCACATTCCATACCTATAATCAGTTGGGATCTAACACAAAGTGTTGGATAAGCAAAAGAAGTTGGATGGATGGATGTCATTCATCGCTTTTTGATGAATGACTTTTGATGAATCATGTACCTCTGCCTGCAAATGCCAACAATAGACTTGTTCTCCATATCAGACTTTCAGTGGCATCAGGTGAATCTACAGCCTGAGAAAACTCCCACCTGATAGGCTTTTGCGGCACAGCATTAAGCAATTTTTTTTGCTGAAGTTAAAGTATGTATAACTTGCATGGACGCATATTAGGTTCTTGTAATGGGCCCTTGAGGCTGGCTCCAAAAGCAACTTATTTGCCATAGACTGTAAACCCAACATTAAAAAATTTAAAGCAGGTTTATAGTCTGGTCTAAAAGAAAGTTGTTTTCTATGGATAGTTTCCCCCTTTGTATGGATAATATAATAAAAGGTACTTTCGGCTGCTCTTATTTCCCAAGGGGTTGCTTCAGTGGATGGATCTGCATATTTGATTTGACACAGATTTTAGCTCTTCCTGACCACCCCTCCCATTTATTCGGGACTGGAATTCTGCTTTAGGAATACACCAGTTTGTATCCCTCTCAATATTGCACATGCAGGTGGATTAACCAAAAAATGATCTTGATGATTACCAAAACTGGTAATTTAAGGCAGATGTGGCATAAACCTTACACTGGATGGTGGTCTGATAAACTTGTATTTGTATGATTGTGTATACATGCTCTGAAACTGCACAGTTCTCTACATGTGTTTGTCTTTTAAACAACAGAAAACGACAGAAAACATCTGAATCTATATATCAGTGGGAATGTGATGAGTGGAGACTGGCCCATCTTAATTTTTCTGAGCATGCATTTTCCTGTGAATGAAAGGAAATGTGCAAAATTTCAAGCGAGTCAGACTCAGCCCATAGAGAGATGTCCATTTAAATTAGACTTTCCTCCCAAAAAGGCACCAGTCATTTTCTGCAAATCCCCCAAAACAACATATTTTACATTCTAGAGACAAATCCCTCCAGTGGTGGTTGGAGTTATGAATTTCGTCTGTGAGGAACAAGAGGGAAAATAGTTTGTTGCTATTTTAACCATGACGGCAAAAGTCTGAGACAGTCCCCACTTTAAACAAACCCAATCGAAGTTGCAATTTTAATACAAATTAGAATGTTTTCCTAATCTTTCCAAAGCTGACTCTGTCCCTAAACCTTGAAAGATTTATTTTCTGCAGTGACTTGTCAAAGAGTTTTGAAAGGCACCACAAAAAGCATTTATGCATCTTGTTGGAGGGCATGAACAAATGTCAGGTTCGAGGGCTTGTTTAATTACAACTGTCATGTAGGTATAGCACCAGCTGAAGGTAAAATGCCATCTAATTTTACAGAACTGCTGTTGAAATGTGCATGTGTTAGTAAATCGTGTAAATATCAGGAATGGAATTTGTTAATAGGTGGGATATTTTGGGGGAGGTTATCTGACATTTTTATATTCAGAAGTTGGAGAAACCGGTGGAGAAATGATGAAAAAACTTGGTCAGGATGGAGATAAAAAGATTTTTTTTTTTGTAATTATGTCTCTCTATAACCTGAATTGATACTCTGAGGGAGACATCTGCAGCTATGGTGGACCAGACCAACATCCCTCTACATATTACATTCATTGCCAGTGTTCAGTTGGAATACAGCAATCAGTCGCTGCTGCATATGCACATTTCTTTTAATTATGATTGAAGATTTGTGGTCAGCTGTTTATATAGGCTGCTATTTAATATGGTCTGGTATTTGCACAAGCAGTGATGCAGTTAATTGCAGTGGTGTGGAATTGATTATTGTAATTATTTATCACTGAATTGACTACATTTCTATGTTACTGCAGCCAAAAGGACAAACACAATTACTAAGAAAATAAAAATAATAAAGGTAGAGTAGGAAAAAAATAATATAAACAGAAAACTGTGTAGTAGCAAAGAAATTAATTTAACGAGATAAAATAAACCTCTAAAATGAAATAAAATGCACTTAAAAAACATATGAAATAAAAAGATGACTATAATATAAGAAATTGGCTCTATCAAATAAAATATCTCACTAAAAGAAAAGAAAATGAAGCAGTGCGCTTGTGTTGCATTGTACAGCGTTAAATATATCCTGCTTTCACCTGCTTTGGGCTCATGTTTGATCAGCTCCTGGAAGATTGATATCTACTGTTTGTTCAGCACAGCAGTTGTTATTGTGTTGCTCTAAATTCTTTAACAGTTTGTATTGAAAACAAACGCTCCGAATCAGCCTGGAAGCAGAGTCTTCTGATCACTTTGTGCTTCTTCACTTTGAGACGTTTATTTGGAGAGTTTTTATTCTGCTTTGACTGTTTCTAATTTATTATTTGAATATTAGAGAATAGCCTCTGTGCTTCTATTATATGAAGTAAGTGGACATTCGGTGGTGGTGGAGTTAGATTTTTATGGTAGAAATCACAGATGCTGGGATTAATTGGATTTTAATTTCAGTCCCTAAGTTGTCTTTCAACACTTCTGGAGATAATCACAACACAGTGATTACTACTTCTTTTTTTTTTTTTTCACTTGTTTTCGAGTTTTTGTTTTGTCTTGTGTTATAAATCAAGCACAATGCTTTCACCTCTCTCTAAAAGCCAAAACTCGCTCTTAGTTAACTTCAACCTCAGCCAAGATGGCAAAAAGAGTCTTTGGTTCAGATGATCGCACCATATCCAGGTTTCTGTAGATGAACCTGTGGAAGGATCATTAATGGTGTCCTCCAGCTGCCTTTGTTGGGCTTGTACACCTCTGCCAAAAACACCTGCTAGTCTGGACTCACCACTGATTACTGACTGTTAACGTTTAACTTCAGCTCATTACTTCAATACGGCTGCGATTATTTTGTTTATGTCGTGTTTAGACTTTGTTCGTCGCGGATGTGTGATGTACACAGTGTCTAAGGCTACGTTCACACTGCAGGCGAAAGCGCATCAAATCCGGGTTTTTTTTTTGTTTGTTTTTTTGACCCTATGCGTCCCATATCCGATCATGCTATGACAGTGTGAACGGCACAAATCCGATATTTTCAAATCCGATCTGGGTCACTTTCGTATGTGGTACTGAATCCGATACATATCCGATGTTTTAGAAAGCGACTGCTGTGTGAACGGTCAAGTCGCATTAAATCCGTCTTTTACGTCACTGACACAAGACAGACGCCAATTATCAGCGCCGGAGAAGACATTGCGAACGCTTCCCGGCCATCCAGTGTAGATGTTAGTGAAACTGTTGGGAAGACAACGTTGGAGAAACGTGAACATTTTATTTGTACTGTATAATCTGCAGATTCTGACAGAAATCTGCAACTATCCTTTGAAGCACCGCTCCTCTAAAACAGCAATAAGGATCATTATTAGGTTATCTACATTATTATGTAAATAACAAAATAACTTAAAGCAAAAATTAGGAAACATAAAGTCCGAAGTCTTTATATTAAGGGCCATCAGTCAAACAATATTGTTTGCTCTGGGTCTAAACAGAGTGCGTTGTGTGTGACGTCTTCTTTTGCGCATGCGGGCCGCTTTGAGCGTTCACACTAGATCACGTTTGCTGTCGCATTTTATTTGTAGTGTGAACGAGCAGACAAAAAAATCGTATTTGATCAAAAAAATCGGAATTGAGATTAAGACCTGCAGTGTGAACGTAGCCTAAGTGCGGCATAGAGAAGTGTTGAGGTGTAACTGGCAAAAGGCCACCATGGCTAAAACTTCTGCAGTGATTAATGAATCCCATTCAGTGTTCACATTCAGAGCAGTTATTCAAATATGCTCCTGTAACTGTGCAGTGTACGGGCCACAGTATTGTAAAAAACAAACAAACAAACAGCTGACGTATCTATCTTTTAGCGTATAAACTGCAAATATTATGTACAATTATTCCTAAATTAAAGAAAAATGGCCACATTTAGGCCATTTGTTTTGATTAGTTTCTTTTCTATAATATTTGCAAAACCAATACTGCATAAACTTTCTTTAACTCGTAATTTTTGAGCTCTTTATCCACTTAGTTCATGTGACTTATGTTCTGTGTTAGTTGGCCCATATTTAGCTTTAAAAATATGCTTTAAAAAAAGTCTGATAAATGGTAGGTTCATGAAAAATGAACAATTATGATTTCATCCTTAATCAAGCATCCTTACTGCAGCTACTATGAAAGTATTTTATTAAAGGAATATATTAAAATGTTTTTATTAAGTATAATCCAGGTTCTCGTAGAGTCGTCCAATATCAGCAGTCTGCCTAGCAACAGCTTCGAGTAGACGTGTTCGTGCTGAGTGCTTGCTAACAAGATCAAAATGAATATCCTTTGCAAATGCAGGAAAACATCAACAAATCTATGCACATTATCCATGTACAAATACGTCTGTCAAAAACGGTTTTAACGCTGTGAGAAAGTCTTACAGTGTGTGAAATGTCCTTATCAAGATTAAGGCTATTCCTGTCATAGATCGAGACGAATGAAGCGCTTCTCAGGAGCAGACGTGATGCAACAGCAGACTATTACCTGCTGAATGTACCCTGAATGGATGATTGATGATTCATTCTGTCTCTCTCCTCTAACAATCACACAGATGAGAGAGCAAAGATTTCCCGCGCACCCCACAGAGGCTTGTGACAGTGATGTCCAAGCCCCGTCCGAGGAACGTGACAGCAGATCTATCTGGTCGAAGCGTTTACATTTTGTACCTTCACCCACGATCAATATGCTGAAAATAAGGTCTTCTCTCATTCAGAAAGT